GGCCGGTCCTGAGACACTCAGCCCTGACTCGCAACTCAAACCTGCACACTGTGAATATTTAAAGCCCACCCGTGCCCGTGTCCCTGCGTGGGGCTGGGTTTGGGGTGACGCTCGGCTCCGTCCCAGCCCCTCCCCATCCTCCTGTCTTTAGGGCTTCTTTTTAATAGAGCGGATGAAAGTTTTTATCCTGCACAAGAGTTTTGGGGGGGCCATGTGCCCCTTGCAGGGTTCTCACTGCGAGCTGGCCTCGCTGGGATTCCATTTCTTCGGTGACTGCGCTTTGGAGAAGGGAATGGGGCTGGGAAGGATGGCATCCACGTGGGTGGACGAGTTGGAACTGCCCCAGCTGGGCACCCTGAGGCTTCTCGGCTCAACCCCAGGCTTTGGGAAGAGCCTGGTTTGGGACTCACCAGCCCTGGAGATGCCCCRAAATCCAACGGCTCCCTCCGGCCCCGGATGAAGTGTGGCCCGCGCTGCTCTGGGAGTTTCAAGTATTATTTTTGTATGAAGGATGAAAAATATGGACAAACCCAACTGTTTTTAAAGAAAGCATCGCTATTAATTTTGGGTTTATATATATATCTMTATATATATATATAAATGTGTATTTATGACTGGCAGAAGGAGGGGGTTCCCAGGCGAGGGACTGGTGTAAATCAGGATGAAAGCCCTGATGCAGCAGGAAGTCTGGGGCCAAACTCCTGGTGGTGTAAGTCACCAGTTTACACTGTGGAGGAGCTGCTCCTGGGGAAGAAAACTTGCCTTTACCCATGTTGGATTTATTTTGCCTTTTTTTGTTGTTGTTGTTTGGCTGGTTGGGGTTTTTTGTTGGTTTCGGGGTGGGKTTTTTTTTGTTGTCTTTTTTATACAATGAAATGTTGAAATATTTTATACAAAGGCATTTAAAAGTCTATTTAAAGAAAATAATGGAAAACAACTTGTATATTTAATATTATTAATAAACAGAGAGGCTTAGCTTGGTGTAAGTCTGGGGGGCAAGGGAGCTTGTGACTGCCCTGTCCCAGCCTGAGGGGGTGACTGGGGGGCAGAATCCTGGTGGTGTTCCCCTGCCCTGCTTCCCTGTGGAATCAGGGCCGACAGATGGATCCACTCCCCCCGAGATTGTTGAGAGCTCCAGGCACCAGCTCTGATGCTGGGGGCCCCCAAAATCTGTGTCAGCACTTGGGAAGCAGCTGCTTAAAGCAAACACACTTGAGGCAAAATTTCCTGGAGCACTTTTGCTTAGAGAGACAGCACTGGAAGAGGCATTTCCTTCCGCTCTCCAACCCCCCCTGCTCCCCTTCCTTCTTTCCAGGAGCGGGGCAGCCCCACATCCCGCTCCCCCTGCACGGATCCAGCGCCTCCGGGAGGATTCCACACCACCCCGGGGTCCTACAGCTGATGGGGTGCGCAGGGTGAGCACCCCCATTGCTCACCCAAGGGGGTGGCAAGGGCAGGATGGGGTCCGGGGGCGTTTTGSCAGTGCCAGGTCCGAGCTGCTGCTTTGTTTGCTGACAAACAGGATTCCTCGAGGGGAGCTGACTCAGCCCAGCCCTTCCTCTCCCCTGCAGCAGCCGGGGGTTTCCCAGGTCCACATCCCCTTCCCAGGGAAGTGGGACCTAAATATATCCCGCTGGATCCGTGCCACGGTCATTATGGTCGGGTTTGGGGGGTGTTTAAGGGCAGAGGCTGCAGGCACCGTGCCCGGTTTGGGGGTGCTGGGGGCAGCGAGTCTGTGTCCTGCTCCGGGATGCTCTGGGATGCTSTGGGATGCTGCGGGATGCTCTGGGATGCTCCAAGCAGCTCCACAGCTGCACAGGAGCTGAATGAGGCAGATTGGAGCTGTGGCAGAGCTTGGGGAGCAGAGGTGGGAGCAGCCYGAGCTGCTGYGGGGATGTGAGGAGCACCASCAYCCACTCCCTYCRTGYTTACACCCCACAATCCTTCATCCCTGATTTTTTTCTGGCAGCTCCATGGGCTGGAAAAGCACGTGGAAAATGCAGGAAAATAGGCAAACTCGAGTTCGGGCCAGGAGGGTTCCTCTGCTCCTCATGTCCCCATTTTCTGGCGTTTTCCCCACCCTGTCACTGGCCYGTGTGGGATTAGGGATGTGATTCCCTGCCCCGGGCAGCCTCCACCCCCAAACCCCTGCAACCTGGGGGTACAAAACCTGATTTTAGCCCCCCACTCAGCTGGGAATGACACGGAGCTGTATCCCAGTCCCTCTGCGCTTGTAGGGGAGGGGGGAAAAGAGCCCCCCACCCCGGGACTGAGTGGGACACGGCAGGTGGTGGCACCCTGGGGTCCCTCCCGAGGTCCCAAATGGATGTTTGTAGTGCAAAAAAGCTTCTTTAATAGGCTGATAAAAGGGGATTTGGGGGAAAAGACAGATGGTGGGAAGGGAAGGCATCAGCAAGAAGCTCCCGGGGTCTGAAGCGTGGGCTGGCATGCAGGGACACAGACTGTGGCCACCAGCACCCACCCCGGGGGTCCTGGGGGTCCCCACACCCCCGGCGCTTGTGACATTGGTAGCGCTGGGACATCCCAGGCTCATCCTGCRGCCCCAAACCTCCCGAACATTCTGAGACTCCCAGATGCCCCGAGACCCCCCCAAACGCCCCCAGAGGGCTCTGCCCACCCTGGGAAGCCTCCCCGGTGCAGCCGCGGGCACCGCAGAGCTGCTGACGGGGCAGAAGCGCCTGGAAAGGCCCCAAGGCTGCGGTTCCTGGGGCACGGCGGGTCCAGGACAGGGTTTTGGCCAAGGAACTGCTGCAGGATTTAGGTGGCCAGAGGCCGTTTTGCGGCCAGACAAAGTGATTTTGGTTAAAAACCATTATCTGCACTTTTCCCTGGGGTTTTAACCCAAACGCTGATGTTTTCCCAGCTCGGATTTTAAGGGAACGCCTCTTTTAAGGGAAAGGAAAGGCGGGACAGGGCTCAGACCCCTCCCAGTCGCCTGTGGGGCGTTTGGGGATGGGGTCGGGGTCAGGGTGCCCCGGGATCTGGGACCCGCCTTTCTGCCTGTCCTGGAATGRTCCCTGGAGCCCATGTGGGGACCCYATGGAGCCGGGGACCCCATGGAGCCGGGGACCGTGGTCCGTGGTGCAGGATGGGACCCCTTGGTGTCCCTGGCCCTGGGGACAGGTTGGTTGTGACCCTCCCTGGAACGGAGGAGCCAGCGGAGACCCGCTGCAGGGTGAGGAGGAAGAGGGGGGAGGAAGCCCTGTCCAGCCTCAGCACTCCCAAAAAGCGTTCAGCACCCCCACGCTGGGCTGGGGATGTGGGCGGGTGATGGCGGGGACCTGGTGGCTCCGCTCAGCTCGTTAATGGCTAATGAGGGCCGGGAGGGCACTGCCCTGACCCCGAGCTGGCACCGAGCCGGGGGCGGCGGTGCCAGCAG